GGAGGCAGAGGCAGGCTGATCTCTGTGAGTTCAAGGAGAGCCAGGGCTACACAGAGAAACCCTGTCTTGAAAAACCAAAAACCAAACAAAAAAAGAAAGAAAGAAGGAAAGAGAGAGAGAGAGAGAGAGAAAGAATGGGAGAAAGAAAGAAAAGGAGAGATAGGGGAAAAAAAGAAAAGAAACAGGAAAACAGTGGATTCAGAACAGGACCTGAGTTTTGAACCATTGCACTGTACTGCCCCTCTGTGGACAATCACCTTATAGCCAGACAGAGGTTCGTAGTCCCTGTCTGGGGCTCTTCACACCTGGAGTCTGGAGTTTCAGGAGCATGAATTTGAGAAAGATTTTGGTTAAGAACTAAAGAAAGAAGGTTCACCTCACACACACACACACACACACACACACACACACACACACATCTACCTTAAACATTAGTGCATTTAGATAGTGGGCCTTGATTTCCTACTGTGCCAGGCACTGTACTGGTGATTCAAGGAAAAGGTACCCAGACTACTGAGGGCCGAGATGAAAGAACACAGACAGTTATGATGTTACGGTAGGACATAACCCTCAAGTCTGCCTCTCCCTGTTGCATAATTTTCCATGAATAGTTTCATCATTCTGTAGAATGTGAACCTTGTGACTGAAAAAACATTTTTAGAAACCAAGAAGCAAGTCACTTCGGAGAGCGATTTAAAAATGTGTCTTCTCTGAGGCCATTTGCTCACACACAAAAAGCCATCAAAAACTCCTCCCTTCCTGTTCCAGGACTGAGAAAGCAAAGGCCCTTTCATTTCCCTTCCTTGGAAAGTCAGGGTCCTTCCTGTCCGGAGGGGAAGAGCGGCAGACGTCGCTATTCTATCTGAACTCTGGGTCTCACACTCTGAGTTTCTTTTTGTGGTAGAAACCATATACAGGTAGCCATGCGGTGGTGGTGAATACCTTTAATCACAGCGCTCAGAAGGCAGAGGCAAATGGATTTCTGAGTCCAAGGCCAGCCTGGTCTACAGAGCAAGTTCCAGTTTTTTTTTTTTTTTCTTGAAACAGAGTCTCACTATGTAGACTTGGTTCTCCTGAAACTCACGGAGATCAGTCTGCCTCTACCTCCTGAACGCTGGTACTAAAGATCTGCACCACCATGCTCAGTATATGCATATTCTGGAAAGTGGAAGTCTTTCTAAACCATTCTTGGAAGTTCAGTAATATTCCCTAATTCCCCCCTTAGGCCTCTGAGTCTATCTCGTTCTCCTGGTTCTCATTGGTGCACAGTGCTTTTCCCTAGACATCACCCAGAGGCTGATGGGACCAGGCTTTGTCCTACGCCTTTATTCACCATATTATCCCTCAAGGCTGACAGGTGCAACAGATTTTATTGAAACATTAAGAGTATAAAATGTACATATGGTAAACTGTTTTTTAAATTAATGTTTAGTTATTACCAGCGCTTGGGAGGAGTAGCTAGGAAGCTACTCTTTCAGAGGTTACATGGTGTCTCCTTTACTCTGCCTTCTCTTTTTGCTTGGATTTCCTGCCTGGTGCTATTCTCTCTGGCTACTGGCCGAATCAGCTTCTTTATTAACCAAAGGTAATAAGACATATTCAGAACCTACAGAAGGGCATCCCACATCACTCATGTGCACTGGAGGGAGTAGATGCCAGCACAGGTAACACAGCACGAAGAGGACACTTGTGGGAGTCGACTCTCTCCTTCCACATGTGAATCACAGGGGTTGAACCCAGGGCGTGTACATGTACCTGCTGAACCATGTCACCAGCCTCAGAAACACTTTTCAAAAATTGAATGCCAGGTATAGTGGTATATGCTGTTAGTTATTTTTTGTTTTGTTTATTCTTTTTTATTGATATTTATTGAGCTCTACATTTTTCTCTGTTCCCCTTCCTGCCTCTCCCCTTCCTCCTTCAACCCTCCCCCAAGGTCCCCATGTTCCCAATTTACTCAGGAGACCTTGTCTTTTTCCACTTCCCATGTAGATCTATGTAAGTCTCTCTTAGTGTCCTCATTGTTGTATAAGTTCTCTGGGATTGTGGTTTGTAGGATGGTTTTCTTTGCTTTATGTTTAAAAACCATCTATGAGTGAGTACATGTGATAATTGTCTTTCTGTGTCTGGGTTACCTCACTCAAAATAATGTTTTCTAGTTCCATCCATTTTCCTGCAAAATTCAAGCTGTTATTTTTTTTTCTGCTGTATAGAACTCCATTGTGTAAATGTACCACATTTTCCTTATCCATTCTTCAGTTGAGGAGCATTTAGGTTGTTTCCAGGTTCTGGCTATGACAAACAATGCTGCTATGAACATAGTTGAGCATATGTCCTTATGTCCTTGTGTCCTTGTGGCACAATTGAGTATCCTTTGGATATATACCCAAGAGTGGTATTACTAGGTCTTAAGGAAGGTTGTTTCCTAATTAGCTTTTAAATGGCTGCACAGAATGTCTGTTATTAATGAGCATCCCATTTTATCAGAGATGATGGATGAAGCATCTTCTGCGTGCCTTCTTTCCTGAGATTTTCCTAGGTAGATTTCCAGAAGTACAGTTGACTTACAGGGCAGGCATAGTTCCAGGGACCTTGAAAGGTATCCTAGGCTCCTGGAAATGTTAGGTTGTATCAACTCCCATTCCCAGAAAAGAAGTCTGGGAGACTCTGGGAGCCACGGCAGGGATGTTACACTTCAGACAATACAAAGAAGTGCAGGATTTAAAGGAATGCAAAAATCTAGGCTCAAACCTATTTTTACCCCTTTAGTTTAAGCTTCTTTCATGAGCATGCCTCCCACTTGCCCCAAACCATGCAGTGGCAGCAGCTGGGCCCAGTGACAAAGACAGGAGACTCACAAGCTCAATGGTGGCCCAGGAAGCTTAGCAAGACCCTGAAATGTGAAGGAGTGTTTACTACTAAGTCCTTGCCTAATATAGGCAAGGCCCTAGGTTCCATATCTAGTACTGCAAAGAAAAAATTTAAACCAAAAACATGTAAATAAACTTATGATATATGCTAATAGCTAACTTAATATCGATAATAGATGGGCCCGCCCCAAATAATTGTGTGTGTGTATCACATATGTTTTAACATACATGAATGAATGAATTCTATGGAAATGTTTTAATATATTGGCATATGATATATTCAATATACACATGGAAGTGATTCATCATATGTTTTGGACTTTCTCGTTTGTTCACATTTCCCAAGGTGAAAACTTTTTAACCTCATACACAGATGTCAGAGTCATACCTGTTACCATGCACTTCATCCACATCCCTCGTACACAGACATCGGAGGCATACCTGTTACCACGTGCTTCATCAGCATTCACCAGACACTTCTCAATTTAGTTCTCCGCTGGATACAGAGATAAAGACAGACACCTGCTCTAAAGAAGCAGAGTCCATTGGGAAGCAAGAGACAGGGGGTGGGCTACGTGGAGTCATCTGAGGATTAGATAGGCTACTGGGAACCAAGTACAGTTGTCCCTGGGGAGCCCTTTATGGTGTAACCCTTGCATTGAGCAGGAAATGGTTGAGGGCTGGCCTGCCTTACAGGGTGGGAGACAGACGCACTGAGGCTTTCAGGGAGGGGCAAGTGGTTCTTCTGCAGTGTGAGCCTCTGGAGAGAAAGCCGGGCTCGGGTGCAAAGGAAGAGGCCACCCGGCCACATGTTTGTGGAACATGCCTTGCACAGCCCCTGCTGGACTGGGCTCTGCTCTAAGCGCTTTTCATGAAGTATCAGCTTCAAACAGACACAGTGGGGCAGGGTCTTTCATGACTACCATTTCCACACTGTGTTGGACTCACAGCTGGCTCAAGTCTATGTGCTCTGAATCAGTGTGGGAAACTACTGGACACCAGCCTGGTGTGTTCATATGAGTCCTTTTAGAGAGAATGCTATCTCAAGCCACAGTCCTGGGCTAGAGGTGGGGGCAGCTCAGTGGTAGAACACTTGCCTAGCACTGGGGCAGAGTATCCTGGGTTGCTATCAGTTTTTATTTCTAGGTTATTTCAGTGGACAGAATTTGGAAATATCTATGTTTATAATTTGTTTTCTTTGTTTTGAGACGCGGTAGATGCGGTCTAGTTGAGCTCAGGTTGGCCTTGAATTTGGAATGTGGTGGAAGCTGGCTTTGAACTCTTGATCTTTCCTGTCCCACCTCCTGGGTGCTGGGATTACAGGCATCTACCACCATGCCCAGCTGACACACGCATTTGTAGACAACAACCTGAGGTGTAGTTAACACAAGAGCATACACACCTTTAAAGTAAATAATGGGTGTGAATCTCTCACCACTGTCAAAACAGTGAACATAGCCCTACAAGTTTGCCTGGGTGCTGCGTAATTCTTCCCATCCTCCTTCTCCTGCTCTTCCTAGCCACCTCTCCTGGTCTTCAGCAGGCTGTTTGTTTGATGAATCAGAATAATCAAATCTATTTATTTCTGTAAGTTTGTAAAATAGTTCACATCATGGACTTTTAGTACATTCTGAGCTCCCAGGAGAGGCTTTGATAACTGGAGAGGTTACAGTACTTGTTGTTAGCAGATTGAAAGCCTATTCCAGAGACTTAAAAGATTCATCCTTACATTTCTGTTGCTGTGCAACCACTTCTAGTACCACATCAGTCAGGATTCTCCAGAGTAACAGAATTTATAGAATGGATCTTTGTTTTTCATTTCATTTCTTTCTTTTTTTGTTTGTTTGTTTCTTTCCTTATTTTTATTTTTTCAAGACAGATTTTCTCTATAGCTTTGGAGCCTGTCCTGGAACTAGCTCTTGGAGATCAGGCTGGTCTCAAACTCACAGAGATCTGCCTGCCTCTGCCTCCCGAGTGCTGGGATTAAAGATGTGCTCCACCACCGCCCGGCTGTTTGTTTGAGACAGGGTTTCTCTGTGTAGCCCTGGCTGTCCTAGAACTTGCTTTGTAGACCAGGCTGGCCTTGAAGTCACTGAGATCCACCTGCCTCTGCCTCCCAAGTACTAGGATTAAAGGCGTGTGCCACCACCACCTGGCTCAGTTCCCTTCTAATACTTCCTGTTTGCTTGTTTTTTTGAGTCAAGGTCTTGCTATGTTTCATAATGATGTGTTGAATTGTGTGGTTATTGTTAATAAGTGAATGAAAGAATGCATTAGTAAATGTCTGAATGGATGAGGTGAGTCACCTTCTCTCAGCCCTCACTTTGGCTCGTGGTAGATGAGAACTTTAATATTCTTTATCCCGTGGACTGAGGAAGACTCAGCATGGCCCTTGTTGCAGCAGAGTTCTCACTGCCATCCGATGACACAGGCAGGCACCACCTCTGCAGTCCGAGCCGATCCTTGGCATTCATTCCATGGAAGACGGTGAGAGTCTAAAGAGCATCTCCTGCTTGATTCTGGACATCTTGGTGTTGCGCTTGCTGTGGAGGAATGAAAAAGACACAGACAGAAATGGCGGGAACTTCTTATGACCAAGATGCCAGTGGGCTAAAATCAAGCACCTGGGGGAAGCAGGTCAAAGGCCAGCAAACAACAGGTGACATGGAGTACACAACAGGTGGCAAGTACATACATGACATGAATGTATGAGGAGAGAGGGAATGTATACAACCAAGGAAGAATCTGAGACTGTGGTAATACACAAGAGGGAGAGAATCAAGACAAGCAAATTAAAACAGACAGCTAGGCTTAGCTCTCAGGAGAACAAAAACACCTAGGAATAAGTGAACAGAGCCCTGGCTCATTGACAAGAGTGTTGAATGAATCCTACTAGTGACCAAGGAAAGCGACCGCACCAGCCCACAGACTTTGGGAAGAAGAGGAAGGAACCACAGCACCTGATGTTAGATGTGCCAAGAACTGCTGAGAAGTGGGAAAGGGGCACCACAGTGTCTGACAACAGCTGTGCAGAATGTTTGCTTCTTAACTTAAGGAGCATTGCCAGGGTAGGGCACAGTGGCACACACCTGTAATCCAACACTTGGGAGGCTGAGGTCGGAGGCTCTTTGAAGAGTCCAGGCAAAAGAAAATAAAAATGTAGATTCCAAAAATAAGAATGTAGAAATAAAGAAATATAAAGTTATAGGTCTAGGAGAATGAGAACAGACTATCAGCAGCTTTCTCAGCAGATCAAGGATCTATTTTCTCAGATGTTTGGGAAGCCTAGGTCATTTTACAACTGGCTGTTTTATTTACAAGGCCAGAGTGTCTCTCTACAAATTGAGAGCAGTGTCCTGACCATCCTTGATAAACGGCAGATGTAAACTGAGTTAACCTTTAGGAGACAGAGATATGTGACCTCTGGGTCAGACACTGTCTCTGTTATGGGAAACTGGCACCACCAGAGGAGAGGCATAAGACCCCAGTTTACACCCGGAGGTACCAGGAGACAGTGGATAAATACAAAGGTTTAATTAATGAGCTCTGATAATGGAGGTTATAAAGTATGGCAGTCAGTATCTAAAGATTTACCTGGAAACAGTGTGAAAGGCTTTTCTTCTAAGTTCTCAGCCCAGGAACCAGTTAATCCCAAATTCCCCCTTGACATTAGCACTCACTCCCCTCCCTCGGGTCTCCGCTGATCAACCCAAGGGTCAGGACAAGGTTGTAAAAATTCCTTTACCCAGACCTAATGCTTGGTGTCCTAACTATAAAAGATGGGGTCAGAAACTAGTCGATGCCATAGCCTAACAAATGCCATCTCTGGCTGTGGTCTCAGCTAGCTGATAAGCTTCTGTGCCCCGCGGTGTCTTATTTTTATTTTTTATTTTTAAGTTTGCTTCTGGTTTTCCTAGGATCTGGTTTCTGGAATAAAGTTTGCTTCTGGTTTATTAGACTTGGTGGTGTTCTCATCTTTGCGCGACCCCCCCTGGACCCAACATCTTCAGTTGGGGACACTCTGGAAGAAATGGTGAGACCCTATCTCAAACAGTAACATAATGACGATGATGATGACACACTTCTGTCACATCCACTTTGCTTGTGCCAGGCACTGTGTTCTGGGCTTTACAAAGAGCTGGCAGATTCATTCTGTACATCAGCCCTGGGCCATATGTACTATTATCATTCCCACTTTACAGAGAAAGAGCCTGAGAATCAAGATAAGAACCATATAGGGTCATAGAACCAGGGAGTCCTGAGAGGGAGCACATTAAAAGTTCAGTGACTGAGATCATTGCCTCTCTATTTAGTCCTTAAAAGATGACTATGTCCAGCCTGGTCATTGATGTGGGATTTCCCTCCGAGTGCTGTGATTACCATTTATAAATAAAGGGACTGCTTTGGGCCTATAGCAAAACTATAGGGTAACAGAGCTAGGTGGGGAAAACTAAGCTAAATGCTGGGAGAAAGAAGGGTGGAGTCAGAGAGAAGCCATGGAGCCTCCATCAGAGACAGATGCTGGGAACTTTACCTGGTAAGCCACAGCCACATGGTGATACACAGATTAGTGAAGACGGGTTAAATTAATCTGTAAGAGTTAGCCAATAAGAAGCTAGAACTAATGGGCCAAGCAGTGAATTAATTAATATGGTTTCTGTGTGATTATTTTAGGGCTAAGCGGCCAGGAACCAAAAAGTGGCCTTCTGCTACAGGTCATGGTGACACATACCTTTAATTTCAGCACTTGGGAGGCAGAGGCAGGCAGATCTCTGAGTTTGAGGCCAGCTTGATCTACAGAGCAAGTTCTAGGACAGTCAGGGCGACACAGAGAAATCCTGTCTTGAAAAACTGAAGATATAGAGAGATGACTCTGCCTTGCTTCACCCTACTTCAATTAAAATAACAAAGTTTCCTTTTCTTAGTTTTTTTTTTAATTTTATGTGTATGAGTGTTTTGCTGGCCATGTACATATGTGCACCACGTGCATGCCTGGTGTCCGTGTCTGGTGCCCATGCCTGGTGCCCTTGCCTGGTACCCATGCCTGGTGCCCATGCCTGGTGCACTTGGAGGCCAGAAAAGGGCATTCGATTCCCTGGAATTAGAATTACAGATGTTTGTGAGCTGTCCTTTGGGTTCTGAGAATTTAACCAAGGTGCAGGGCCCAGCAAAAAGGAGTCCTTTTGGGTCGAGCCCAGCCAGGACTCCCAGCCAGGCATGCTCCAAGGCGTCCTGACCTAAGAGTAAGGACCCCAGAAGCGACAGCAACGAAACAAGGCTAGCTGCCTCCAGTTCTCTGACACTCTCTACAGTTGCCACACCTGGACCTTTCCTGTGTGGTAAACCAAAGGGGAAGCTGTTGGCCTGGTTCACACTTAACCCGGGGGCTTTCAGCAGCAGTCAGAGGACGCTGGGGTTTGTACCATCCTTTTGTGTGTATGCACAGGTGTATGATATTTGCAGGGTACACACGTGTACTACGGTGCACGTGTGTCGGTCAGAGGACGACCTTGGGTGTTGGTCCTTGTCATCTACCTTGTTTGAGATCATCTTTTTGCTGTTATTTACAAGGCTAATACAAGCTAGCCCACAAGCTTCCTGGGGATCGCCTGCCTCCACTTCCGCTTCCATCTCACTGCAGGAATACTGGGGTTTTGGGTGCAGGTTGGGTTCTAGAGAGCAGGTCCTCATGACTGTGTGGCAAGGACTTTACCCAGTCAGTGCATGTGTACATGATCCTTTAAAAATTCTGGTTTCTTTTTCTGTGTATTTCACAGCACACGGAGTATAAACACACACATTTTTTTTCTGAGACCTCCAGAACTGTAAGCTAAATAAATCTTTTTGTCATGAACACTCAATCTTGTGTGTTTCATTACAGCAACAAAAAGAACTAATTCACCAGTTAGATCCCTGTACTTGTTCTTTTAAAATCCTTGGCCTCAGCCTCCTAAGTGCTGCAATTATAACCTCATACAACCACTTTCTGCTTGTAAATGGTTTCTTTGTCTTTCTTTCTTTCTTTCTTTCTTTCTTTCTTTCTTTCTTTCTTTCT